CGCCTTGCCCCGCCCCGCCCCGCACTGCACGCGGTAGCGCACCGCCCGCCACTCTCTGGCCCGCGCCCAGGGCGCACGGCCACTTTCCTCCGCAGACAGTGTGTCGGATCGATATTATTTCGCGGCGACGACACAAAACTATACTCGAGCGGAACTGGCCGCCCCGTCGTGTTGCAACACTTTAATTAGACCCGCAATTTCTCATACCGTTATCGCATTTGTCGGACAAGACGCGGGGTAAAGTCATTTGCGCAGGCTGCGAGCGCGGCGGTCCGTGCGACACGCGAACTGCAATAATAGTAAATTCGCCAGATTGCAGGAGCAGCGTGTGGGCAGTTCAAAGCCAGCGGGCACGGGCTTTTGTTCGGAGGGGCGCAGAGAGGAGCAAGTCGGGTCCAAAAATAGTCTTTGGCTTGCTTTGTATTGCGTATCCAATTATCTTGTGATAGAAAAATTAACAGCCAACGGATTGCGGAAATCTACTTGCACACGCAGAAAAAAGGTACACTATAAATGTCAAGGACAATTTTCGTAACTTAGCACCGGACTTCTTTGTTCATATAAGTGAGTTCAGAAGACACAATATAGTAACTTTCTAGTAACCAAATATGCTCACAGAAGGCCCGTCTCGTTTATGAAAAATAATAATTGTCCTTACATTTTTAAAAGGGTAGGAAAAAGGAAACAAAACCAATTTTTAAAAAATTGGTTTGGGTGGGCACGGGTCGTAATTTTTTCCGCTGCCCTGCTGCCCGACAGTTTTCGCGTCTGTGCCATAGTGTTCCGCCCTTGTTTATTTTAACTCATCCCTCATTATGACGTTCCCTTCATCTCATTTGCTCTTCCCCCTGCCTACGCCTATCCTCCCCCCCCCCTAACACCTCGCTTCACAACACTCGCCACAATGCTGCTGTTGTCGCTATTTCGAGCGCATGATTAGAGAGGTCCCCGGCGGCAGGAGGTAGAGGGGGTAGGGGTAGCTGATGACGGTCGCACAGACAGGTTCAAGATCACTGCCATGAACGTGAACCAGCATTCCATGACGGCGGCCAGGCTGGCCCGCGCCGCGCCCCGACCAAGGGCAGGGCCTCTCGCAATGACACGTGCGGGTCGGCGCGCCGCCCCCCGCCCGCCC